AAGTTTTTCTTCATTACCCATTTAAGCCGTCTCCAGCCATTATTAGTCTCAAAGTGGGTTCCTCGTCATCGAATGAGGGGTCTCTGAATCTCGCAGCTGGTGCGCGGGTGTTTTATAGTAGTAGCACTAAAGTAAAGGTAGATTAACAATATCAAAAAAGAAAAGACAAGTTATCTTATCTACTACTAATAATATAATAATAATCAAAATAATTAAAAATAATTCAGTCATTACAAATCCAACCGTTAAATTAATTTACAACAATGTTACCACGTGCGAGTTTAAAATTATAGGAGGCAAAATCTAGACATTTTTCTATTGATGCAGTGAATTAACTGCGCATGTATGTGTTTAAGATGAAAACGGGTATTGTGTCATTTTTCAAATCAATGTAAATATTTGGTTGGGCTTAATTAGTTACTTCAACTGTAAATTATAAAACATCAGAAAGCCATATTTGTATGTGATAGTTAAGGGAAGCCAATTTTTTAAAGTGTGTCTCTTTTGCAGATTAAAAAAATATCAGAAAAACATACGTTATAGTTGAATTATGGCTCTAAAAGTAAAAGTTATAAAATTTCGCACTTGAACTGTTGGACTTGAAAGTTGAACTGAAGTCGGTCAAAACGAAAATCGAAATACGAATCGCAAAATCATAAAAAAACAACAACAACAACAAAAAAAAACCCAGTCTTTCTCTAGTCTTAGGTAACTCAAATATTGTTGTTTGTTTAACAACGGTAAGTATTAAATTGTATAAATAGTACGTAGCCTTATAATTTTTGTGATATTTCGGTTACCGTTTTACAGTTTGTAATAGTACTAGTAGTTGTAATAGTTAAATTAAAATGAAAACAGTGCAATTAAAAAAATCATCAGAGCATTGAAATGAATTAACTTTTACATAAACACATTGAAATATTTTTTTTAACAAAGAAACTTCATGGAGTTCTTATGCAATGAGAAGCTTCAAAGACCATTTTAGAAATGTTTTTTAAACAAAGAAATTGCATGGAGTTCTTAATGAGAAGCTTCAAAGACACCATTTTATTTATTTATTTTTATTAAAATCTTAAGTAATACTAATAATAGTAGTAGTTTTAAAATTCTTTTTAATTTTAACAAGGTAGGCCTAATGAGAACTGAAAGAATTGTGATAAAGGATAACTTGCTTATGAAACTTAATTTCACTAAAAATCATCATGGCACAATTAACATGCAATGACTGCTGTGATTTAGAACTGTGGTGCCCACTATTGGGTGGTGAAGAATTTATGTACTAGTACTGAAGTAATGGTGCAGTCTAAATTAATTTATTTAGTCACTTACTAGTATCACTTAGTTTTGTTTTTTGCATTTTTGCGATATTCTTGATTGCTAAGATTTTGAAATCATAAATGTATTTTACAATTACAGTATACTGAAGCTCCTTTAGGCTTTAGTCAACTGCAAAATGAAAGTATGTCAGTTTCCAAAAACAGGCTAAAACATTTTGTTTTAATTTCCAAAGTCAAACACTTGAACTTATGCCAGCTCTCATTTTTCTCTCAGTAGCCAACACAGCAAGAGTAACTACAGCTTGAAAAGGAGGGCAGAGTTAATGGTTTTGTGATTGATCAATTAGAGCTCGAACTTTGGTAGATGTGACAAAAGTTTATAAAGCTATTACTAGAGTACTATGAAAGGAATGATGGTATAAACGTCTGTGATTCTTGTGTGTAATAATGGTTATTATTATTATACGTATAATCAGCTCTTGAGGTTATCTAACAGTAGCACCTAACACTAACAATAAATTTCAAGCAGTGAATGGCACTATTAAACCATAGGAATATTCAGAAAATATATTATCCATAGTTCCATTTTTAAGACTAGTGTACTTAACTGATAGTTCACCATTTTTTTACTTTTAAGGTATGTTAAACACCCTTTTGACAAAGTTTGGTTTAAACTGAACTTGAACTTTTAGTTATTGCTACAGCCATTTTGGGAAAGTTTAAAATATTTCAAACAAATTTGTTTACATGATAAAGAGCTTGCTATTTTGTCTATGCCTAACATTGTATGTGTATCATACTGTATTTTAATGATTGAATAATCCTGTAAGTTATTGTGGATAAAAACATTAGTTAATTATCATTAATATTTTTCTTAGGTGTTATAAGGTTATTTCTTCCCCAGATATATTTTTGAAAATGTGCAGTTTTTCATTAAAGTATTGCATTTAAACAACACTCCACGATTTAGGGAAACAAACTCTTGGTCATTTGAAGAGCTTTTAAAACATTCAGTGCACGTTAGGCCTACCTTTAAGTAGATGTAGGTGTCTTTACCGGGTTTTTTGTCAGCTTCAGCTGGCCATGTGGCCTCGCACATAAAACGTTTAGGACAACAATGGACCTTTTGGCCCATCTAGGCTATAGTGTCACTAAATTTAAAATACTAAAACACTCGGGAACCAGCCCTTATCATTCAAATCTTCCATTAAACTTCCTTACATTAACTGCATCCACCACAATTAGAGGCAACACATTCTAAAGGCCAACCACACTGTTCAAAAAATGAAAATAACTCCTACCCTGCAAAAATTTATAATTGTGTCCCCTAGTCCTACCATTCACACCATTAAGTATGAAAAAAAGATGATGCATCAACACTGTCAATAACCTTAACATTCTTAAACACCTCAATTAGATCCCCTCTAACTTTTCTTTTTTCAAGAGCAAACAAGTTCAGAGATCTTAACCTGACCTCATATGACAACCTTTCCATTCTAGTTGCCCTAATTTGAATCCTTTCCAACAATTCAATGTCCTCTCTCTAGATTTGTTTTTAATATTTTTGTAGATACAACCTAAAATCCTTTTTGCTCTGCCATTAGCAACAGCACGTTGCTTGGATGGTTTAGGAGTCTGATCAACCAGAACATCAAGATCTTTTTCTTCTGTAACATTGTTAAGGTTATTCTATCAAAATTATATCCATGACTCAAATTGTGATATTACCTTGCATTTATTATAATTAAATCCCATCTGCCATACATTCACCTAACTTACCAAATAACCCAAATCCTTCTGTATAGCAGTAACATCTTCCTCATAGCCAGCAACTTGAATTACATCAGCATACTTAAATAATCTATTGACCATAAACAAGATTATGACACTTAGGATATACAATATTGTTTATTAACAAAAAGGGGACATAGATAAATGTTTCGAAATTCTATCAGATTCCATCTTCAGTATCTATAGCAAAATAAAATGAATTTACACAAGTCTTTGGACATTGTTAAAGTACAATTGCTAAATAAAATGATAATTAAACAAATAAAACACAAAACAGTAATCATGGGGAGAAACTACGGCAAGACAACACTACAACAAAAAAAAGTAAAATCAGTAATACGAACGTCTTGTTTATTATCAAACTTTGTTTTCCTTCGAACACATCAATTGCTAATCTATTGACCATTTCTTTATCTATGTCATTGATATAAATCAAAAAGAGCAAAGGTCCTAACAATGAGCCCTGAGGAACCCCACCATGACATTAAACCAGTTTGACTGAATTCCATCTAGCCAATTTTTATCCAATGAGTCAATCTATCCTCCACTCTAAAGAGATAACTTTTAACAAACCTTTTATATGGCATGTTTTCAAATTATTTCAGAAAATCCAGATAAACCAAATCAACATCTATACCCTCATCTGCATAAGCAGTAACATCTTTAAAGAATGTCAAAATCTGAGTAAAGGAAGATTTTCCCCCTAGTGAAACCATGTTTACTATCCAACAAAACTTTGGTAAATGACCTTGCAAAGCATCTTTTATCAGTCTTTCACAAACCCTACTCACCACTGATGTAACACTATAATAATGTAAGCCTATAATTACAGAAATAATTTTTATCACCTACCTTTCTAAAGGAGGCATTTTAAGCTCTTGGTTTACATTATGGAGTACAAGATACTTTTTGTAGATGGAAAACAGTGAAGTATTGAATTATTACTATCTGACACAAGAAGAGGTGTTTATGGTAAAACTTAATAAATATTCATATTTGGTGCTATTAAAGTATAGTTAAGTAATTGTAGTTAAAACTGTAGTTAAAAGTTAACAAAACATATGAAACTCAATGTGATATAACAACTTCCAATTGTTGAAGCATTGGAAAAATCATTTCAGAAGAAATGCTTTTGATGGTATGGTAGATTTACAGGTTAGGTTCTTGGTTGGTTAAATTATTAAAATTATCAAAACAGATCCAGGGCTTGAATTTTGGACACTTCATATAATTTTAAAATGCTACACTTAATTACAAATTATTTTTTCACCTACAAATATTACAGAAGTTAACAATGTATACCATTGAAACATCTTCCATGTAATAAATTTGTTTATTTACATATCATTTGTTCACAATGTAAAAAAACATACCATGTATTATTGTAGGCGGCAAATTGTTGAATCAGTTAATGTTATATTTGAAGGATTTCATTAGACTACGAGATCAGTTCGTCTTAGTTTTTATTGAGTGAAAGATAATTAATTAATCAGCATATCAAAGTAACAAAATGTAAGCTTAGAACTTAGTAGTACAAAGATTGTTTAGAATATGCTATTTATTACACAGGACAACATTGTGTGAACTATGGATCCAGTTACAAGCATGCTCATGTTGAAATACAGCAGCCCTCAAGCTTGGTACATGTTATCATTGATCATAAGTATTTTGTTTATTTATCTAAATTAAAATTACTAATGTTTCTAACTTGTACATTTTTAGTTAATTTTATAATAATAATAAAAAAAAAATATATAT